GAGCCCAGCCGGGGCCGGGGTGCCGCCTTCCCCCCGGGGCAGCGGGCTCGGTGGAGAAACGCTTCGAGAAAGGCCGGGTGCGGGCGGGGGGGGTAGGACCAGCCTGTCCTCCCTGAGCCGGGGCTGTGCGCTTACAGGGGCTGCGAATGTAAGCAAAAGTCCTGGACTGCTGGACGTAACAAAGCTTAATTTCCTATAAATTTGTACGCCGCGTTCTGGCGCGTCTGTTTCTTCTCCTGCAGCTCAAGTGCTGTTTCCCCCAGCGCGGCCGGACGGGTGGAGAACGCTGAGCTGGTGCTTAGCTCTGTGCGATGGGGCAAAGCTTAGGAAAGCTGCTTAGCAGCCTTCCCTTCAGGCTGTGTGTTTCTTTGTTCGACGAGGGTTCTCGAAAAAGTCGCGCTTGTTTTGAGTGTTGGGTCTTGGAGAGTCTCACTTGAAGGTGGCCACCAGGTTAAAAGTGGAGGTGGAATGTGAGTAGACAGTGCGGAGTCAGGCACCTGCCCCCCGGCGAAGGGATCCGCCGTGCGGTGCGGTGGGCTGGTGAGCTTGGACCTAAGCACGTTACACTTGACAGCGTGTACAGTGTACTCTAACTCTGTTTATAGAAATAGGCCTCTCGACACACTTCTCAAGAACGGTGTGCATTGCCTGTTTTTAATAAGAAACTTGCTAAGAAGGAGAGGGAGAACTGGGGTAAAACTCGTCTAAGAATGAATTGCAAAATAAAGGTGAAAGAGGAACTTCTAGTGCATCAGAGCTGGAGGGGAGCTGTTTAAAAGTGGCCTTAAAATATTTCTATAGCTTGCTGTATGTTGTGGTATAGCTTTATTTTAAGAATATACTAAATAGCTGTCTTGGTGAGACAATTGCATCTAGGTTGGGGTTTTTTTTAGATCCCTCACATCTCTTTAAAAAGACCTAGGACCATAAATCACCTTTTGTCTCATTAGCCAGTACCTCAGCTCTGTTTGCCTGTTACTGTCTCTAAGCAATGAGTAAACGGAAAAGGAAGTTTTTAATTCAGGACATGTGCTAGAGTAAGGACTTGTCAAGTATTTTCGATAATATGTAAGTGTAAAGGTTAGATGTATTAGAAAAATATTTCATGTAAAGAATTTCAAAACCGTCTAATAGCTCTAAGTATCTGGTCCTCAGGGAGTTGGAAGTTCAGCTTATAGTTGAGATCACAGATCTCGCTCATCGCAGGAGATAAGCTATATAAAATCTGACATGATGCATCTTTCAGGAAATGATTCTGTTACAAAAGGCTAAAGTGAAACTGGTAAAAATTAGCGTAATAAAAATGATAGTTTTTAACAAGACTTCATCTCCGAGTACTGTTTGGAGGGAATGCAGAAAACTGCTCTGTAAGCAAACACCTCTGTTAGAAGAAATTATTAATAACTTCTAAGTGTCTGCCTTGGAAACAGAAAGCCTGGTTCGGAAGGTCAGTGCTTAGCATTTCTTTAGAGTGAGCTCTGGGGGTGGTTGTTCAAGGTGTTGTGACAGATTTCCTCCGGGATGGGCTCATGGTCAGAGTTAGACGCTGTTTTCTACGATGACATCCACGTTTTGGGAAGGATTAGCAGGTCTGTGTCACTGATCGTTTGTATTGGGAAAGTAAACCCTTCTGAATATATTGTACTTGGTTCAGCGGCACGGATGACGTTCTCACCCAGTCTGCTTCCAGCTCTGTGCTTGGATTCTTCCAGAATCCTGTAAAACTTGAACTTGTCTATCCAAAAGCAGTGCAAAGCATGTTTTTCTCTTGAATAAGGTACTCTTAAAATGGAAAGGTTGGTAGAGAAAGTGAGTAACCAATGAGAAGAAAAAAAGTAAGATAATGAAACTATCTCCTTAAGGACAAAGGGACTTGGATTAAGCACAACAGTTGTAACGTCTTCGGAATCCTGTGCTGCTCTCAGTGTGGGGGAAGTGTGCTGTCGGGACGGGGGTGTCCTCCAGGGAGGTGAAGGTGGGTGGGAGGGTACCTGGGGGTGAAGTAGTGCCTGCAGGTGTGTTAGGGAAGTTCACAGCTCTGTTTAAGTTGCTTCATTAGGCCTCTGACCTTCCCTGTGATTATGCTTCTACTTAAAATGCTCTGGTTAGTTATTCAGTGTCCAGTAAATTGTGTAATAGTATAATTTGTCTTTAATGAGTTAACCCTGGTTCCTATGGTGAACTCATGTGGGGAATGGGACTGGCTGAAAATTCTTCCTTCCTTCCCTCTTCCCCCTTGAGCTTACCTCTGCGCTGGGTCCCTGTGCAGCCTCCCAAGGCTCGGCTGGAGCCAGGCCTAACTCGGGAGAAGGGTTGGGATGGGTGGAAAGGGACGGAGTGGAGCCGAGTTAGAGCCACCCCATCTGTCCAGCTGCAGCTCCTCGGGGAAGCTTGCCTGTGCATGAAGCCAAGCAGGGGACAAGTGTGATCGGGAAGAACGTAGGCACTTAAGGGTTTTAATCCTAGTGTGTAATATGGAAACCTGTATTTTTGATTACTGTACTCTGTCCTTCTGTTGAGACAGGCTTCTATCTTGAGGTTTTAGTCTGACAGATTTAAAGAGTTCTATAAATTAATGGACTTGTGAATGGAGGCTGATGGCTTGCGAATTTAGCAGTGAAGTGACTGCATATGGTGGTTTTCTCGTCTGTGAGAAAAATGACAATTCATGTTCATGTCTTAACTCCTTTCTGGAGAGCAGAGTGAATTAATAACTAGCTTTCTGCTCAGGACTTGTTTAGATTTTTAGCTGTACGCTCGGGCTCCTGCTCCCTTAGGGTCAGTGTAGCACAGAACTTGCCCAAATTTTGTTAAAACCCTTGAATAGTTGTTTCAAATAATAACAGATTTGTTCAGAAACATTAATTCTGTTGCAATGCTTTAGAGTGGGCCTTGTTTAATTTGTTAAGTTATTAATGAATTGGAAGAAGATACAAACCCAGTGCAATTATATCAGTCTGGTCTTCAGTACTGGTTTTGACAGTTTGTGTTTGGAAGATCGATCCTAAACCTCAGGCTGAGCTGGAATGTGTTTCTTGTGGCAGCCGTATGGCATAACCCTGCTGTAAAGCAGATTCTTGACCTGCTACATAGAGCAGCTTCGTTATGCTGTTAGTGTGTTGGGTGAAGAGTAAAGATCCATTTGACTAATAGCAATTTTTTTCCCCCTGGTAAGTTTACCTCAGTGCTATGAGGAACTTGGATTAGAGGGCTGGATTTAATTTTTAGGGCTTCCACAGTATGCTGAATATTTAAATCAAGAGGCTTAATAGGACTAGGAATTTCTCCAAAAAGAATTTTTAAAATGCTCCTGTCTTTTCAGAACTCCAAGCTGTCACAAAGTAGTTTTGAGTAAAGTATGATTTTTAGTTTAGCGAGTACAGATTAAATTCATAAACATCAGTCTGTCTTTAAGAGCAGAAATAAACCTGCAGAGGTTGCTTTAAAACTAGAAAGCTTAGTTAGCATTTGGTACAGACGTGTAGGAATGATTTCCTTGCTATCTGATTTAATTTGTGTATTTCTTCTGAACAGTTGAATGTTTCCTGTATTACTTACCTTTGAGTGACTTAGGTGTATGAGTAATTACTGAGATAAAGGGTGTCTACCCAATTACTACTTAGATGTGAAACTTGAGGTAGCATGAATAAGTTTGGTTTTAGCGCTGTTCCGCAGCGGAGCGTTGCTGTTTGAACTCAACTCAGAGTGCCCATTTCCAGAGTTCACAGAACGTTCCATGTGTGTATTGCAGCGAGTGGCCAGCTTAATGAACCAAAGACTGTTTAAAATATCTCTGGTCTTAATTATCAACGCTTTTAAAGAAAAATGTGCAGTGCCATTCTATGAATCACTAACTGGAAATCTTTCTTCTCATTATAGATCATGTATAGCCTTTGGACCCAAGAATCGCTCAATTGGTGCTGCAGCAAAAAGCCAGGTGAGCGTGTAGTTTGGGTAAAAGCAACGTCAGTAGTCTAAAATCAGAGCAGCAGAATGTATTTTTTTATCACTGAAGATTACAAATGTCTCTGAGCTGGTGTCCCAGTGTCTCTTTAACTGTAACGAACAGCTGAGCTTAATTCAGCTGTTCAGCATGTGATGCTGCTTTGTCCTCTGGGTGGAAATCTCAGGGTTGATCGCTGCACATAGTGAAATGTACAAAAAAACCCCAGTCTTTGCCTCTTAAATTCTGATAAATACCATTATTTTTTTTTTCAGGTTGCAAATGTAAATTCTAAGCTAAGCAGTAGTGTTTCATCCTACTTGAGCTTGTTCCAGTTCGTTTGCTTTTAATTTAATAGCTTTTAATGATGTGACTCCATTCTGTAAAATTCCATTAAGTGCATAATTCTGGCAGAAAGGGGACGTACTTGACTGTAAATAGATCCAGCTTTCTGGATTCTCTGGTTGAATTGCAACCTAAATATCTCTTAGATGCTCTTGCCATACTTTGAGTTTCTGTTAGTGTAGGTAGGTAAATATGATTTAAGGACTGAGAAGAAGTTAAGCTGACTGGTCCTGCTGTATCATATCTTGTGTTGCTGTGAAACCCCTATAAAACGTGATTTTTCTTTTGAAGTCCTCTACAGGAAGTGACTATTCAAACACTTGGTTTTTCTTAGCCTAAAATACCTAGAGATGTGTGAAGATTCATTATCTAGAATACAAAAATGACTGGACACAGCCATGTTACTCAAGAACAGAAGAACTGTACTAGAACTAAATACAGATGTTTTTTCTGGAATTGAGTGTCTGCTTAGCTTAAGGAAATTCATTGGTACAGAGATCCAGTAGAGATGAGGTATGTTCTGCAGAAAATAACCTTACAGAGAATCAAAACCAGGTTACTTAGGAGATAGCCACTTGACTGAAACTGAATCCCAGGTAAATATGAAATGGTAGAGTGCTTGTCTGCTTTGTCAATTACTATATTTTTTTTTAGAATGTGTCTTGCTCTAATGTAAATGAAAGAATTAAACAAATTTACTTTCACTATGTGAGAACAAGCTATAATGATTTTTCACTTCTCCGTTTGTGCTGATCTCTGCTATTAATAAAAGACAGTCTACCTTTTGTCAGTCAAATCAAGTTGACAGTGTCACCTTGGGGCCCTCCTGACTTTTTAAAGCTTCATGACAAGGTCCTTGAGCTGTTTTGTGAGAATATCTGTGTATTGACTGTCACATGCGTGTGATGAACCTGAACTGGAGTTTACATCAGTATGCTTGTTATGTTTGTGAAATTACTGGCTGCAGCGCCATAGAAAGGTAGGGTGGTAGGAAACAGGTAAACGGGAGAGGCACTTTGCTAACATTTGTAGTGTCCTGCACATACACTATAGCAATTGAGTGCTGTTTTAATCAGTTTTTGATAGTCTTGGCTCTATTTTCTAGCATACGTTTCATTTTAAATCTGAAATTCCTGTAGGTTACCTCAGCAATCTGAGGGAAGTTGCCTTCTAGCAACTGCCTTGATACTATTAAGACATAAACAACAAAAATATTCTGGCAAGAGAAGCATGAGAACAAAACTCTGTCTTCTGTTTGAAATTCAGATGTTCCCCTGACATGCTGTATTAAAGATTTCTTTTCCTCTAGGTTATTTCAAATGCAAAGAATACAGTACAAAGTTTTAAAAGATTTCATGGTCGTGCATTCTCAGATCCCTTTGTTCAAGCTGAAAAAGCAAGCCTTGCGTATGAACTTGTCCAGCTGCCAACGGGCTCAACTGGCATCAAGGTAAGTCTGGCATAGTTGAACAAGAGCCAGAGGAGGAAACTGATAAAGTTTCCTTTTATCTCTTTGTTTTGAATCTGCTTGCTGTAGTTCCCATTCTCCTGTGAATGGAAAGCTTTAAATAGGGAATAAAGGGCTACTAACAGGGATAGTCTCTCCAGGCGTTAGGTGGGACTGATTTTACAGTTAGACGGTTTCTCTGCCTTGCAGAGCCAGTCCCACACAAACTGTTTTAGCAGTGCTATTTTCCTTCACTCCCTGGTGAATTTGGAAGACGAGCTGTGTCACCAGTGTACTTATTTAGCTGCTGTCCTGATACTGCAAGAGTGTGAGATGGCAGCTTAGTACTTTGGGTAAAATGGTAAAAATTTGCCTTTTCCAGCAATGGCTGAAATTGGATTTTAGCAATAACTACCTTAGTCCAGACCAGCAGGGAGGAAGGCATCCTAGGCATTGTCAAGCAGTTGGGAGCTAAAAAACCCAAACTGCATCCAGAGCAGCTTTGTGTATGTGAATTCTTAAACGTGCATTCCAGTGTTTGTGTATTATCTCCTCCCAGCCGCTGTGCAGGAGCTAGGCTAGCGGAGAGGCTCTCTGGGCCTGCGTTCCTGTTTAAGCTGCTCTTTAGGAAGGGCTTTCTTGCATGTCTTATGTTTGTAGTGTGTGGTTTTTACTGTGGTGTAACACGTGTGTACACAACTTTTTTATTTGAAGGCCATGTATATGGAAGAAGAAAGAAACTTTACTATTGAACAGGTGACAGGAATGCTTCTTACCAAATTAAAAGAGACCGCTGAGAATGCGCTTAAGAAGCCTGTAGTTGACTGTGTTGTTTCTGTAAGTATGGGATAGTAAGTAAGTCTTACATATTTGGTATCAAACTGAAATGATTGCAGCGTTAAATTGTCCATTAAACTCGAATATTCAGGTACTTATTTTCTGTTTAGAACTGAATCTTACATCTCTTCAAAACTAGACTTCATTAATGGTAAAATGTCTTAAATTGCTGCTAATGAGCAGCACAAATAACAGATGCTTGTTTCTGGTCCTTTGCTCTTAGAGTGGCTTGTGAGATAGAATGGAAAAAGATTCACAAAAAGTACCTTGGTCTTCATGTAATGTTTTCTTTGCTTTTTCTCTGTTGCAACTGAAATGATCACAAATTTGAAAGATACCTCGGCTGTGCTCTGTGCTGACTCTGTACACACCTGTAACTCTTGGCTGAAGATGGCTCTTCTAAAGGTTCATATTGGCTGTCTGATTTTTCTTTCAGGTTCCTTCTTTCTACACAGATGCAGAAAGGAGATCTGTGATGGATGCTACACAAATTGCTGGTCTCAACTGTCTGAGACTAATAAATGAAACAACTGCAGGTAATACCTCCCTCACTTAGCGTTGTAGTTTTATTAAATAAAAGGAGTTTTAATCTGCCACTGATCCATGCACTCTGGAATTACTGCTGGTTTTTAAGCTTAAAATAGATTAGTTGATCATAAAGCTTCTTAAGATCTGGTCTGGTTTTTTTTCTTTCATTGCTTTAGAGGCATAAAGGTATTTCTTGAATACCTGTTCTATTGCAGCTGCTAGGAGGGACTGATACTGTTTAATGTTCTTCAATGTTCATTGGCACTGGGAATTATTTTAACGAGGTATCCATTTCTGTAGCTTGAAAAGTAAGATGAAATGTTAATGCTGTTTACTGATGTACCATTTATTTCTTAAAGCATTGCAAAACTGAACCTCCTAACTACACTTTGACTCTTGTCTCTGTAGTTGCCCTTGCATATGGAATCTATAAGCAAGACCTGCCTGCCTTGGAAGAGAAGCCACGGAACGTTGTGTTTGTGGATATGGGGCACTCTGCATATCAAGTTTCTGTTTGTGCATTCAACAAAGGAAAACTGAAAGTAAACAATCTGTTATGCATCCATTTTAATTACCAGTAGAAATATTCACCAGTACATACATGGCCTGTGACAGGCGAGCCTGTCTGTTTTTCCATAAGTGTATCCAGACAGCTCAATTCATATTCTTAAAATTGCACTTGGTCTGGAGTTAAAAGTAGGGCAGGGAACTAGAGAGCTGCTAAGTGGTATGTGGAGGAGACAAACATGCCTTAATCAGCAGACTTTGGCAGAGAATAAAAACCCTGGAATAAATGATCGGTTCAGAAATTATCATATCTGACTGGACGCTGCTTTCAAAACATACTCTAGTTCAGCTGTGAGATCTAGCATTAAACCAGGAATTCCTAGAATGGTATAACTGACGCATTATTTTTCTAACACTGTGGTGCTTGTGTTAAAAAAAAAAAAAAAAAAAAAAAAAAAAAAAAAAAAAAAAAAAAAAAAAAAAAAAAAAAAATTAAAAAAAAGGCATTCTTATTTACTTTAAGCTGCAAACAGAAGATAAGTGAGTTAGTGTACTTCTAAGTGTAAGTTGCCAAAACATTACTGTTTTCCAGCAAATACTAACATTTCTTAGTTGACTTTCTTAAGATTACAGTCTGGACTTTTGCAGTTCCAAGGACTTTGTTTCTCTAGCAGATTAAAAGACAACACAAATTTTAAAGCATGGGATAGCGAAATGAGGAGAAGGCAAGAGTTGTGACAACGCTACTTCTGTTGTAGTTATGTTTCCTCTTGCGAGGAAATACAACCTGCTTTCTGTTTTTCTCAGATTTGTCTTTTAACCTTTGAAGCCATAGAAGTAGTGAAGGGATGCTTTTGAGTGTAGAACGGAGAGCTGGCCCGCAAGGCAGTTAAACCAGTGTGGAGACCAAACCTAGCTTGAAAGAATATTGAGAAAGAATAATGTGATACTTTTGGGTTTTCCTAAAAAAAGTACACAGTGTGTTTAAAGAGAAGAATCAGCTGAGGTGGATGGGCTACAGATACTCTTTGCAGATGATTCCCTCATGAGCACCTATTTGCGAGAGTTAGTAACACTTAACTCTCTTCGTGTTTTATTTTTAGCTTGGTGTAAGCATGTTCCACCCTTATGAGGCATCAAATATTAAGCCGGGACATAATTCAAACTGACAGTGGCTAAGCAGAATTTGGAAACTCTGATGGTCTGCCTCCAGCACAAGTTACTGAACACATTGTGTTGCTAAGCCTTGCCCTATCTTCCCAAATTTCTTTTTAAAGTTGTCACCTCATTACAGGAAGGCTGGGTGCCCAAGGCTGCTTTTTAGTGTTAGAGAAATTTATTTTTTTTCCTCCTGGAGCTTGTAGCTACTGCATGTATGTGCTGCAATTCTTGTGAGTTCCCATTCAGAGGGGTCTGATATTTGTGTAGCTGCTGGAATTTGTCAGTTGTATTGATGGTTCTTTCTCCAACAGCATTTTGAATGTATCTACTGTCAGCTACAAAAGGCACAGTATAGTCATGGTTTAGACTTGGTAGGCTTTAAAAAAAAAAGGCATCCCTTAAGATATGTGTGGTTATTTCTGCACTTGCAATCCACATAAACTATCAGATGTTAGTGATGCAATTGCTACTTAGATTGCCCTGAAATATAAGAGAATGACTAAATTGTTGCCAGCAGCATCCACAAAAGATGGAAGATGAGTATGGGAGATGGCTTTACTGTTTGGGATGGGTTAGGCTTCTAGATGGGGCTTATCAAAAGAAATTCATCGTTTGCTGGTGATGACAAGGGCAGGATAAAAATTAACTGTACTGGATTTCTTCTGTTGTGGTTGCACCGGACTAATTCTTCCTCCGTAATAATTTTGCGATACTTGCTTTGATTCAGACTATATTTGAAACAAAGAAATGCTTTGATTTTTAACTGCTAATAGGTTTCACTGAAGTAATGACAAATTGTGCTGTTACTGAAGAGTTCAATTTTTTTAAGGTTCTTGCTACATCATTTGATACAACACTTGGAGGCAGGAAGTTTGATGAGATGTTAGTTGAATACTTTTGTGAAGAATTTGGAAAGAAATATAAACTAGACATAAAGTCAAAGATTCGTGCGTTGTTGAGGCTATACCAGGAATGTGAAAAACTGAAAAAATTGATGAGTGCTAATGCCTCTGATCTCCCGATGAACATAGAATGCTTCATGAATGACATAGATGTCTCTGGAACAATGAACAGGTAATGCTTATACTTTTATAAAAATAAGCTTTAGAGTACCCTTCATTCAACTTCCTTCAGTCCAGAAAGAAATTCAGTGTAAAGTACCAGTTCTTAGGGCTGGAGGGAGGTGGGAAATGTAAGAACAAGATGTGCAGGGCTGCTGCTCAAAACGATGGTGTTTGGGCAGTGGCCTGGAGTTAGTGGGGAGTGCTGGGATGTTGCAAATGTGCCTGGATTACTAGAGCCAAGCTTGTCTGGGAGAATAACCTAAATAAGTATAAAACTAGGATACTAAATAGGTATAAAACTGGGGCTGGGGGAGAGAAAACCCTGCAGTACGTAGTTAAAATGGCATTCTTTCAATTTTGGCATTCTGTTGTGTTTGCAGTATTAACATGCTTATGGTACGTTATAGCTTTATTTATGGCTTCTTCCAACAGAAGCAAATTTTTAGAGATGTGTGATGGGCTCCTTGCAAGAGTGGAACCACCCCTTCGCAGTGTGCTCGAGCAAGCCAGTAAGTGTAACGTGGTCTGTGTTCTGCAGACAGAGAAGATGAATCTTACTTAATTGCAACCCTTTTTTCACTATTAAAGTGAAAGCAAAGTTTGGGTAGTTATATTTCATCCTAATCATTCTTGGAAGTCTACATCAAACATGTCCAATGCCATTAGAAGGAGAGAAAACATCAAGAGACACATTTGTATTCTAACATAAAAATGTAACTTCAAAAGCATACTTCCTCTACAAAGGTGTTTATTAAATGTCAAAACCAGAGCTCAATGGGTTATCCTTTACTCCAGATCAATATTTCTCCCTATACAAACACTTCTAAAGAGATCTCCCAAGCAGTTCATCACATCCCCTTACTCGTTACTCTCTACTCTGCTCCTACCATTATGCAGATCTAAACACAATGTTTTCCTGAAAGCTATAGTCATCAAAAAGACTGCAGAGAAACACCCTTATTTTTGCTTCCTTTCTGAAAATTTATATCCTGTTTCAAAGTTTATGACTCCCGGTGTTTGTCAACCTTTTTATTATTCTTGACAATGTGTCATATGGTACTTTGCCTTCATGCATGGATCACCCAGTGACTTGCTTGTGCTGTGGTAGTTTATACTGATCATACAAATAAGAATTAAGGTGTAGAAAATAGAGATTTCTGCTTTAAATTGAGAAAGTCAGTTCTCAGGATCTGTGCTAGATCCTTGCTTGCTCTACTTTTTAGTTAATAAAATAAACATTTTCTGTGTTCATGAAGATTTACACACAGTTCCCAAAAAAAGTATATGCTAGGACATTTAAAATATTAAACACTGCAAATACTCAGAGCAGATTTTGTCTTCTGTATGGTATTTCTGACTGTGCAACAGCAGAATGTGATATTAAGTGACTTATGACTCAGACACAATTCCTTTATTTGTATTTCTTATTGGTTTTCTCTAAAAGAAACAAATCATTTGTGACTATTAACAAAGGGTGGATAACACAGTCAATCAGATTGAGCCTTGAGGCT